CTCCTCCTATCATCCGAATAACATTCCTGATCAATACCCTCTCATAGTCTCATCTCTAGAGATTGGGTAGAAGGCCGTTCTACCCCTCCCTGAACTCTCCTGAATCAGCTTGACCAAAACCCTAAGGTCAACTGAAGTCAACGGTCAAACTTTGACCCGACTCGTCGAGTGCACATGGGCGACTCGGCGAGTCCATGCGGGTCCTCTGAATCCTTCTAGCCTCACTTGGCACGTCGAGTCATCCCTTCACTCAACGGGTTACTCCTGTCATGAATCGCGGGGCAACCCCGACTCGACTCGTCGAGTCCACTTATGAACTCGGCGAGTAGTGTCCATGACAATACTCAAATGACCTTCTGAGGTCATATCCGCTTCTCTAACCTATAGATCTGACCTTTCCATACCCACTAATCACGTAAAGGTGAAACCTTTACACTCATGCAACACATATATGGTTCCTTTTGAAGAAATAGCCTCAAAAATGGCAACCTAAGTTCATTCCTTCCATAACACTTCATAAAGCAAGATGGATAATGCTCTCTGGACCTCTACGGGTCCAGATCTGAAGTCTAACACATAAAGGGACCATAAACTCATCAATTCAAGCCATAAAAAGGGTATAGAAAACCCTAGATTCATAGATCTTAACCAAAACAGAAGGAGAGTTCGATTTGCTACCTCAATACTGTAGATCCAAGCTTGAACACCACAGATTAGCAATCCTCTTGACCTCCTCTAGCTGGGAACACCTTATTCTTTGCAAAACAACACCAAAAAGGATTAAAATGGCTTGCTCTCACACACAACTCGCCCAAGCTCTCTAAGGTTTCTCTCTCTGGACTGGTAGCCGCAAATGAGGGCCATCAGGTTCCTTAAATAGGGCACATGCCCGAGGATTTAGGGTTTCCACCCACAGCGCTTACTCGGCGGGTCTACCCATGGACTCTTCGAGTAGTTCATTAAACTTACGTGGCTACCCCGCTTCTACTCGGCGAGTTATAGCACCAACTCGTCGAGTAGGTCAATGATTCACAAAAATAAATAATTAAAATAATATACCTGGAAATCCGGGTGTTCCACTTATACCATCATGCCATGGTCTCCCCCACATGGTCTTTACCTAGGAATGCCATGGGCTCCCCCACATGGTCTTATATCCCACTGCCACGGGCTCCCCCCGGGGTCTTCCATGCAAATATCACATAATCACTAGCATACCACTTAACATAAAGCTAACTATCATACCACATATCTCTACCACTTAGCATAAAGCTAATTATCATACCACATATCTCTACTACAGCTAGTGTACCACATATCATAAAATGGGTTGGCCTTGGTGCCTTAGACCCATTGGTATGGTGAGAAGACTCACCTTGAATGCAGAAGCTTCCCAAAAGAAATCCTTAGCTGCTGCCTTGTCCACTTCCCGAGCTATCAATACCAATCAACATACCCAATTAGCAATTAAGTCCCATACCATAATCCTAAATCCATGCATGGGGTAAATAGACCATTCTACCCCTGGCCCAGTAAGATCCAAAACTAAGGCCCAAACCCAAAACAAAAGCCCAACACTATAATGTCCATAAAACCATCAATGGCCCAATTTTCCAAATTGGGCCCGACCCTTTCTAATGGGCCTTATCCTAAAGCCCAATATTCTCCTTAGCCAATAACCCTGTCCCCAATTGGCCCATGAAGGCCCACAACAACCTAATCCAAGAATTGGCCCAAACCGAGGCCTACAAATGTGAAGTCCATTTCTATATTGGGTCACATGCCCAATAGGCCCAACTATTCCAATATTGGCCCAAGATACATTCAGGCCCAACAAACCGCAAATCCAGGCCTAAAACCATTAGGGCCCAAAGGTATAAGTCCACTAAGGCCCAAGTCCTCCTGAGAGCGTATACCCAGCGTACCTCTTCTGTACGCTTAGCGTACTGGGCAAATGGACTGTACGCGCAACGTACTACATAGTACGCCCAGCGTACAAACAGCTCATGCACAAAATCCATTAAGTGCTTAATACTCGATCCCACTAGTCCAAATCACAGATCTGAGCTATACTTAACGTCTAAACCGATAAAGTCACCGACTTTGTGACTTTGCATGCCCCAAACAAACCCAAACTCCAAAATGGCATTCTACTTCCATAAAAGTGACCCTAACTCATACATGAACCCATTAAGACCTTCAAGACGACAACTTTTTGTCTTAGGGACTCAAATAGCATCAAGGGTGGAAACCCTAAGTCTAAGAATCGAATTTGAACCATAAAGCTTCATCCTTGGGACCAAAAAGGAACCAAAACCCAAAAATGGTAGATCTAAGAGATAAATTATCAAGTTCAAAGCTTTATACCTTCATCAAGCTAAGAATGAGTCCTAAAAGCCAGATCCATAAGCTCCTCCTTGATTCCCATCTTTGCATCAAACTCCATCTTCTTGAAAATGGATCAAACACCCCAAAAATGGACTCCATAAGCTCAAAATGCCACCATGGATGATATATGACGATTTCTAGGGTTTAGAGGGGTGGAGGCTGGATATATTAGGGTTATGTTATGAGATAAGGGGCTTAAATAGGGTTCAAGACCCTAAAATAGGGTTCTGATCTGACTGGAGTACGCCCAGCGTACTCCTGGGAACCTTCGCGACCATCCTGGGCAGTACGCCCAGCGTACTCCAAGGTACGCCCCGCGTACTGCCTTCTTCACTAGTACGCCCCACGTACGCTTTGTGTACGCCCCGCGTACTCGGCTAAGCCTGAAAACCACGAAACTTATGAAGGCCATAACTTCTTCGTTATAAACCCGATTCGACGATCCTTATATCCACGAAAAGGTGACGAGAAGCCCTACACTTCTATCAACTCATACCTTCCTTAAGACCTTCCGAACAAAAGTCCATTTTTCCACAAAAGCCCAAACTGCCACTTTACCGAAATACCCCTAGGCCTCAAAACACGAACCGAACACCCGGATCACTTCTAATACATCACCCGCACCCAAATGGGCCTAGATCTTACCTTCTCAAAAGCTATTATCATGATGATGACCGATCTTCGGGCCACAGCCTCGGACTAGGAATCGATTCGGAACAGAGTGTTACACTGTTACAGCCTACACGTAATGACATCTTACAATTGCAAGCTCATCATGCTAGTGTACATGGCTTTCCTGGAATGATAGGAAGTTTAGATTGTCTATATTGGGCATGGGAAAATTGCCCTACCTCACACCATGGTGAATTTACCCGAGGTGATCATGGTCAGCCAACGGTCATACTTGAAGCGGTGGCGTCACATGATCTGTGGATTTGGCATGATTTTTTGGTTCTCCTGGTTCGATTAACGACAACAACGTTCTTAATCGTTCACCTATATTTAACAACATATATGACGGATCTGTACCAGATTCTTCTTTTGAAGTGCATGGAATGCCATATAAGTATGATTATTATCTTGTTGATGGTAGCTATCCTAAGTATGCTGTGTTTGTTGAATTGTTTACGTGTCCACAAGGTTCTAGACGGAAAAAATTCAAGAGAGCTCATGAAAGAGCTAGGAAGGATCTCGAGCGGGCTTTTGGAGCTCTTAAGAAACGTTGTTTCATATTGAAAAAAACCAGCAATTTATTTCGGCGAGCAAAAACTTCAAGAAATCATGTACACGTGTCTCATATTGCATAATATGATTATTGAAGACGAAGGAAGAGCAATATGTGTGTATGATGAGCAAGAAACCATCCCCGAGACACAACCGATAGAAATTGGTGGCGACGAGTATATGAATAGGAGAGCAGAGATACGTTTCACTGAAATATTTCACAATCTTCGCATGGACTTGGTGGAACACATTTACGATATTCAACACATTAACCCCCCCCCCCCCCCCCCCCAAAAAAAAAAAACAAAAAACAAAAAACAAAAGTGTGGCACCACTTCTTGGGTGTGACAAGGAACCACACTTTTGTGTCGTCTATGTAGCAGTGAAGGGGGTGCGGTTTCGGTGGTACCACTCCCTCCAGCTTGACACCGCATGAAATTGATGTTATCAATAGCGGGTAAAGTACCTAAATGAGTAATGATATCTGTGTGGATAGATAAAGTATTATATACATAAAATTTGTTTCTTTTACAGGACACAAGGGTTTCTTGCTCTTTTCATTGGTGAGATGGGTGAGATACGAGCCGAAGTCCGTGAACATGTCGACACAAAAGTCGCGGAGTGGCGAGAGGAAGGAAAGGCCGAGATCGTTCCATGTGACCTCTTAATAGACGAAGTCCACATGCTTGACATCGAATGTTTCTCTTTCCTAAATCGCGCCCTAGAAAACGACATGGCACCGATTCTAGTTGTTGCAACAAACCGAGGAATCACAACCATTTGTGGGACCAATTACAAATCGCCACACGGGATTCCAATAGATTTTTTGGACAGGCTTTTGATAATTTCTACGCAGCTGTATAGCGAAGAAGATATCCTAAAGATTCTAGATATACGGTGTCACGAAGAAGATGTTGATGTGGCGGAAGATGCGAAAGTTTCGTTGACTAAAATTGGGGTGGAGACGAGTTTGAGGTACGCGATAAATTTGATAACATCGGCTGCTTTGGCTTGTGAGAAGAGGAAAGGGAAGGTGGTGGAGATGGAGGATGTGAGTAGGGTTTATGAGTTGTTTTGGGATGTGAAGAGATCGACTCAGTATTTGATGGAGTATCAGAGTCAATATATGTTTAGTGATGCAACTGAGGAAGATGATGTTAACATGATGGTTTGATTGTGATTGTGGTTGAATTTTTTAGTATCTATGGTCTATATTATATGTTGGCCATCTTCAAATTTAGTAGAATACGAAATGTGTCAATTTCATTGAGATAAATCTATGAATCTTATCTTTAAAAATTCTCAATGCAGTATGCACCAAACATCCTATAATACTTTTTACCTTGTAATTATTAATTAAACTTGTTTTTATACATACAAAATGTACATGTAAATGTTATCAAAATTCAATATTTATTTTCGATTTTTTTTTTATCTACGATGAATCTACCGAACTCAATCTCGATGATGCCGAAGAACAAGGTGTAACTAGTGCCGAACTTTCTGGTGTATTCCTACACACTGGACAGGTCGCATTCAACTTAAGCCACTCGTCAATGCAATCAGAATGGAAATAGTGATTACATTCTGGGATTGTCCTCAATGACTCTTTAGGTTTGTAATCAGAAAGACATATAGCACAAGTAGCATCATCGTTAGACAATCTACCACTCTCTCCAATAATGGTTTTAGTGTAGGACTCGATTGTAGGCCCATCTAAGCCTGTTCTTGAGGCCAATCGTGGGATGATTGCGATTGAGTTAATGTCAATGCTTTGGTTATGAGATTCGTTTTGGGCTTGTGCTCTTGCTGATGCATAGCATATAAGCCAAATGATGCTTATTAAGGCAGGTACACCGATGCCTATGCTTAATCCGTATTTAGCACTCCTTGGAATACCTACTTACAATAAAACAAAACAAGTATTAACAATAGATAATTGAATTTAAACTGCACGTATTTTGACTTTTTGTGGCCATGTAGTCGACTTTACTAGCAAGTTGATTATTCCTCATGTTAAATTCCAAGCAATCGCATGCTAGATGCCATGTTGACTAGTTGTTACTTGTTTGTTAGTGTAGGAGACTGTTAGGTATAATATTTAACAAATATACGTATTACCATTTGATAAAATCCCAATGATTACACACTTTTATATATTTATTGCCCGACATGAATAATTGAATTTTTCTAAATGGTTTAGACATGAAAGTTTAACTTTTTCCAATTATGACCATCGAGTCCGCAGAGGGTCCTTCGGGGACTCGATTTCCCTCTACGGACCGATGGTACCTTCTGCGGACTGATTGCATTTTTTTGTAACTTTACGTGAGTTTGTAGTACTATCAATCTATAAAAAGAGTATTGTGCGCACAACATTATAAAAAAGTCAATAATATTGGACCGTTGGCATGAATCTGCAGATGACCATTTGCGGTATCATTGGTCATTTTTTGAAAATTCTCTTTTTGGCACTTGAGTATGTCATTTGGTCATTTTGTTTTAAACGGTGTCATTTGGTCATTTTTGGCCAAATTTCTTTAAAAAGATGGTATTCATAAGGATAGCTTTCTACCTTAATTGATAGTACACTATGCATAAAAAAGTGTATAACAAGTATCACGGAGGAACCTCTCATGCTAGTTTAAAAGGTAGTACTAAAAATATGTAACCTCTAAGGAAAACTTAAAAGTTAGTACTTTATGCATAAAAACATGTACTGTATGAGTCAGGAGAGAAACCATACCGCGGGAAGGACTAACGCAAATTGTCTGTCCATCATCGCTCTTCAATCCACAAGCTTTACCTTCCCTTTCACAAGATCCGCAATACGGAGTGAACCACATCAACTGCAATTCATATCTAAAGTCGCTGTTTGATCGAACTGGCACCACGATCGTCTTCAAAACCTTACAATTTGAAGGCATGGAACCAGTAGAAGCGATTACAGAGTAATTTTCGGTGCTCAGGCAACGGAATGGAAAGCCATAATACGTTTGATCGAAGCTCTGTAACTGTAAGGAGCAGTTGTAAAAAGTGTAGCTCTGTCTCCAAAAGGTACTGTAACTGAATGGCGTGTTGGCTATATCGACATCGGCAATTCGATTTGGCCGGCAGAATTCCGGATCTATGGAGATGACCTGTGAATCATTTACCGATTATGATTAATACATGTTTTAAACTACTTTTTAAGTAAGAATTTGGAAACGAACCTGTGAAAAGTAGGAAATACTGTTGACTATGTATGAGAGGGATGACGGAAGTCGGATGATTGTTCGGTTTTGTTGGTCACAGGAGAGATTGAAACCAGGGAAACCGCATCGGGCCGGTTGCCGGCCGGAGATACGGAACGGGAACCGTACTTCTGGTTCGTTGGGGCCGCAGGAGGACGGCAAGCAGTCGGTGTCGGCTCCGGCGATGGGTTTCAGTACAAAGAAAGAGAAACAGAAGATTATGAGCAGGAGAATGTGTTCCTTCTCCATAGGGTTGCTACTTGCTACTTCACCGGTGTGTTTGATGGTGTAAAACATGGAAGTCTTTATGTTTACTTTGAAAACAAATTTATGATATTATTTGATTTTATTAATAATAAATTAGTTTTTTTTTTTTTTTTTAATAATTTAGTTTATGAATGACAGAGACAGAGCATGCAAAGGGTAGAAAGGTAACTCGAACATCCTAAATTGTTTATTTTTTGTTTACTAAAATGAAATCTTTTTTAATTTTCTTTAAAGCAAAAATTAATGTATTACGAAACTTCCATAAGCAAAAATGTAATTAAGAAATCGCATCCAAAGCATCACTTTTTTTATTAGACAAAGACACATTGTCTAGCAAGGTCACCAATTCTCGAACGTGAACCACAGTTGAAAAACACAAATCACATCATTTACCGATAAGATTTAAAATCTGAACCGCGATTTCACAATGAAGGAACATATGATCAACATGATCTTGTTAGTTATCACACACTGGGCATAAAGTAGAGTGAATATCAATTTCTGTATTTGCCAATTTTACTCGTGTATGAATGTGATTTAGCAGGATTCTCCACATCAAGATATTAATTTTACTAGGAATGAACTTGTTACATCTAGCAACTAACCCGTCAACCAAAGTAAGATTGTCAATGCACCGTTCAAGGTATGAAAGATATATATAATGATATTCCTCCTTTTTCTGTACCAAATCGTTTAAAAAAAACAGTTGGTATGCCACCGTGAAAATGACATACATGGTCAACACGTTCAGTAAACATCAGAGCACCAATAAGGGTTTGACTTCGATCCTAAGTAACCTTTGAAAACAATGTATGTACCAAACATAAGCGAAATTTATAAATTAATTATAAATATTATAAATAATTGTTATTAAATTTACAAATTAATAGTAATATCCATTTACAAGCAGCAGTTTATTGATGACAAGAGAATATATGTTATACTAATAAATTTTTGTACAAAAAATGTGCAAAAACTAGAACTTCATACAAAAAACATCAATGATTCAAAAATATCGCAAAATAAAAAAGTTTTTGTTAACTCTATCAATCATGTCTTTAAAATTTCCTATGCCCCACACATGGTATAATAGTTTAACCGTGTAACCTCATTTTTATATCTACAATTAATATACATGTAAAATGAATCAAAATTCAAAATCATATGTATTTGTTGTTGTTCTCTAAGTTGAATCTTCCCGACTCGATGTTGATGATGCAGAAGAACAAGGTGTAACCAATGAAGAACTCTCCGGTGAGTTCCTACACACCGGACAGGTGGCATTCAGCTTGAGCCACTCATCAATACATTCAGAATGGAAATAGTGATTACATTCAGGGATTGTCCTCAACGACTCTTTAGGTTTGTAATCAGAAAGACATATAGCACAAGTAGCATCATCATTAGGCAATCTACAGCTCTCTCCAAGAACAGTCTTTGGGTAGGACTCGATTGTGGGCCCATCCAAGCCCGTTCTCGGTTGTGGGATGATTGCAATTGAGAAAAGGTCAATGCTTTGATTATGAGATTCGTTTTGGGCTTGTGCTCTAGCCGATGCATAGCATATAAGCCCGATGATGCCTATCAAGGCAGGTACACCGATGCCTATGCTTAATCCGTATTTTGCACTCTTAGAAATACCTATAAAGGAAGATTAGTGATTAATAAAACGACTTCAAAATTCGGACTAAACTTGCAACTTTAAGTAAAACATAAGGACTATATTCACACAACAATTTTAATATTTGGATTGAACTTGCAGTTTGGGTAAAGCACAGGGATCAATTTTGTAATTTACTCTAGTCCTTATTTTAAATTCAACTAATTGCATGGTTGATGCCGTTTTTGACTCGTTACACAGTATGTTAGTTGGTGTAGAAGAGTGTTAGGTATAGATTTTGAAAATATATTTTCCAAAGATGCATTACATTTTCTGAGTTTGTTTATAGATTCCACTGATTTTACTTTATATCAATTTATATGTTTATATTGATTAATATATTTAAGATATATAGTTGAAGTGATTAAACGATATATCTATTTATTTATAACCTAAACTATTAAAATTTGAAAAAGCTTTTTACTATGTTTCAAGTTCTATGCATTAAATGTGATAAGATCAGTGATATTCTAGACACAAAAGTAAATGAAAGCGTAAAATAACGTGCAATAAAGTCTATAAGTTAATAAAAAGTACAAGTTAAAACCTACATAGTCGACATGATTGTGGAGTGTTGCTTAAATACGTGCTTTGAAAACTATATGCTTCAAAACAAAGATTTTAAAATGTATTTTCGGAAATTATTATTAAGATATGAAAACAAATACAATGATACACATTTTATTAATTGTCCGACATGAATTATTAAGATATTCTCTATACATGCTCAATGTTTACGACAATGAAAGTTTAACTTTTTCGAACTACTTTATCAGGTTTTAATTAAAATAATATATGGTTTTGCTTATTATATATAAATAAATTATGTTATAATATGTTTAAATTGTTATTTTTTGCTTTCAGTAACGAACAAAAGTTTAAATTTTAAAATAAAAGATCAAATCAGCCATAAATAAATGATTAAAAAATTGAATGCATTTTAGTTGGATAGAAAGAAAAAAAAAAGTCAAAAACCTGGAATCATCTTGCTTGAAAAGGCGAAAAGGGATGATCAGATTAGAAGAAGATAAAAGTCAAAAGGTAAAAGTTAAAGCGTAACGAACAAGAAGCAATCAACCTTTATCGGTAATACTCTGTGCACAAAAATGTGTACTCTAATCATTAGTAAAAGCTTGCAAGAATCATGGAAAGGATGAACTTCTCAGGCTAGCTTGACAGATAGTACTTCATGCATAAAAATATGTACTGTAAGAGAAACTTACCGCGGGAAGAACCAACGCAAACTGTCTCTCCATCATCGCTCTTCAATCCACAAGCTCTACCTTCCATTTCGCAAGATCTACAAAACGGAGTGAACCACATCAACTGCAAATCGTCTCTAAAGTCACTGTTCAACCGGATTGGCACCACGATCGTCTTCATAGCCTGACAATTTGAAGGCATGTATGCAGGAGAGAATATTCCGGTCCGGGTAGCGATTACCGAATAATTTCTGGAGCTCAGGCAAGGGAACGGAATGGCGGGATACATGAAACCGTAGTTCTGAGTGGAGCAGTTGTAAAAAGTGAAGCTCCTTAAGGTGCTGAAACGGAATGGCGTATCCGTTAAATTGACACCGACGATTCGGTTTGGCCGGCAGAATTCTGGATCTATGTAGATCACCTGTGAATCGTTTACAGGTCTCTGATTAGAGACGTGATTTGAATTTGAAGCGTCTTATTTGTGTAATGTTTTGAAAACGAACCTGTGAAACGTAGGAAATTCTGTTGACGATGTATGAGCGGGATGACGGAAGTCGGATGATTGTTTGGTTTTGTTCGTTACAGGAGAGGTCGAAACCGGGGAATCCGCAGCGGGCGGGTTGCCGGCCGAGGATATGGAACGGGAAACGTATTTCTGGTTGGTGGGGGCCACAGGAGGCCGGCAAGCAGTCGTCGTTAGCACCGGCGATGGGTTTCAGTAGAAAGAAGGAGGAGAGGATTAGTAGGAGAATATGTTCCTTCTCCATGTGTTTGGTAGCTCACCGGCGTGCCCAAAAGAGTGTAAGATAGAGCGTAGTTTTATGGTGGGGAATCTGGTGATTGTCTGATTGGTGAGTTGAGATTTCAAAATATCCTTGGATTCATTAAAATGTGTATGTATATTATATGTACTTTCAAAAAATAGTAATTGATATTACTTGATTTTATTATAAAATATAAAATTTTACTATTTTTAAAATGATTAGGTTGATATCATTCATAGCCATTTGTCATCTTGTATTTGTTTATCGAAGACAATGTAATTAAAATCATATCAGATCATTTCTAAGATAAGTGTATTTTCAATAAAAAAAACAAAAAACAAAAAACAAAAAAAAAAAAAAAAAAAAAAAAAACTTATCATCTATAATGAGTTAACGACAGATTTTCAAAATAAGTTTTTCATAATGAATTTGTTTAACTTATAAACTTTTAAAAGTGAGTTTTTTTAATATTTTAGAGGAACAATAAAACCAAAAAACTAACAAATAACATTTTCAGTCATTCTGATTGGTTATCCAGAGTGGGACGTATTCGGAGGTGCGACGTGCGTGTTATGAGGGTGAACACCATCCCCGATGGTGTGTGGTCGATGTCAAAGTGATGATGCATAGATTAAATGATGGACTTTAATGATTCCTTTCTCTCCATCTTTCTTTCCTTCTCTTTCCTCTCTTCTTCTATGTCAAGATCACCCTAGTGGTGTTGGTGGAGGGGCGTGATTGACATGGAGGTGAGATTGAAGGTGACCATATCGAAAAACATCCCCTTCCATTTTGGATAACCA